AAATAGTTGGTTGGATGTTATTCTGGGTGTGATGCTATGGCCTTATGGGCTATTAAGGCTATCTGATTGTGATGGAGATGTCTTCAGGGACTGACTTGCAATCTTGCACTTGAAGATTGTGACTACTTACTTTCTTCACCTACCCTTGGAACCAATTGTTAGTTTGGATTTAAACGGGTTCTGCTCCTGCCAGTCTTTATCCAGACCCGTTGGGCAGGGGGAGTTAATGGCTTTACGGAGCCCCTTGTATAGGCAGGCAAGGGGCTTAACAAGGGGTGCAGACTATTATTAAGACGCGACAGTACTGGATCTGGAAGCCTTGTAGTCACCGTGGCAACTGGGGCACTACCAATTGGTCAGGTCTTGCTAGACCCGGATTCGACCCGAATACTCGGCATGAAGATGGACCGAGACAAATTAACATCGTCAAGTCCTCACTCACTCTGGATAATATAAAGGTCTAAATTTCATAATCAACCCTATTATTGTAATTGGTCTCAGTGGACTTGATCAGAGCTTTGCACATATTCTAAAAGTAATAGGTTTTTCTACCCAAAAAAAAAAAAAAGTAAAGATTTCCAGTCCCACATTTAAGCTGTGTTTGGCAGGAAAAGAAGGGAAAGGTAAGGAAATCTTTATAAATATTGTATAGGTTTTTCTAAATTTTTGTTTGTAAGAGATTCATGCTCAATAAGACTCTATTAGAACAAATTATATATATATATATATACTGAATTCTGGATGTGATGTAATTGTATTCGGTTTGTCAGTAAAGCTCAGTTTGAAAGAAGTACAAATATAAATACGTAGAGTGCAAAACCTTGTATTTTATACTATTTTGTATATATTTTATACTATAGATATTTGTATTTGTATTCTTTCCAAACTGAGCCTAAGAAGATCAAATAGAATTGCACATGATGATACCTACCTAGTCATTGACAAGTTTTAGAAATAAGGCCTTGATCCATGGTCAGGGGGTGGATCTATGTTAGGGGGGCCAAATACTAATGAACATAGATTTGTGGGTGGGGGGGAGTTAAGGTGAGGGGTTGTGAGAATTTTCAAGGCATAGGGGGGATCGGATGCTACCCATGAGTAATTATAGCTGCATATTGGCAATATCTCACTTATAATTCATGGAGAGATGTTCCTACTACACGGCAATGGTATTCCATGAGTATGAATGTAGGAACAATTTGTGATTAACAGACTGCCACCCCTACCTCCACCCCTTGCCATGGTCGGAATTTAACGTATCGTATGGTTTTTAGGCTACCGAAACGTTAAATAATGGGAGTTAGAGCTTTTTAACAAATGTGCTTATTTGTGAATTTATCACACTGAAAAAATAAAAAAAAATAAATAAATTAGTACTGATCATTAAAAATCGATAGTATGAACCATGTATGCTTAACCCTTACTAACCTTAACCCAATCCAAAGTTGTTGACATATTATGCTTTAGAAAATTTTCATTAAACTTAAAATTGCTTACATATATGAATGCATCATATATAGTTACATATACATAAATATGCATTCCTACATGTACACATAAGTAATTAAATAAATACATTTTCACGTTCTAATTTATGGGTATAGAATGGTGGTGGGTCTTGATCATTAAGATAGTCCATGTTTTAAAATGGATTGGATCTGGATACCAACTTAAATTTTGATATAAGATTTCCATTTTCATATTAGTGATTATTGTTTTATTTTTGATATTTGGTGTCATACACCACTAACAACCCCCATTTTCCCAAATCAGTAATTGTAGGAATCAATTTGACATCATTTCTGAAATGAAACAGCTAACTAATATATCAGTTGAGGTACATTTGACCAGAATCCACTTGCCGTGTGGCATGTGACAAGAACAAAAAACCCTGTAAAACTGTTCTACTTTGTGACATCTATATTTAAAATGAAATCACATCTATATATAGGTTGAACCGGCTGGTGCCGTGTGGCGCAGGACGATGGAGGTGGGCACAGAGAGTAGGCGCGTGAGGCCGTGGGCCACTGCACCAATTTGGTGAAGCTGTTGCTGTGTTGCACGGAATGAGAGTACTTGAACGCGCCAAACATTCTAACATCCATGTCAAATTCCCTGTGCTCTAAGTATTGAACATGAGTTGAGAAGCCCCAGAAAGGAGGGTGGTGGTGTAATCAGTAATCACCAGTTGCAGAGACAGAAAGGAAGTTATGTACACGCCCTATGTGGCCAATATGGAACCTTCAGCCTTCAGCCTTCAGGTGGAGGAGATTCTCTACTCTCTAGGTTGGCCAATGCCCATGCCTTGACGACTTTAGTCCATGCCACTTCTTACAATAAGCAATTAATAGTTAATACTAAACATTTCCATTATCTCAATTTCCTAGTTGAAGAAATGCCAACAAAGGGGCTCACTTTGGACACATGGGCACAAGCTTTGGGATTGATCTGAATATTGTCATGATGGGATTAATAAATAAGTGGTTGGAGACGGAATCATGTGCACTCTACAGTCCTTTGGCCCCATCCATGAAAGATTCCTGGGTCAACTTCATCTCTCTTCTTTCGACTCCTTTTATTTTTGTTTGCAGTGAAGCTTTCATTTACACCAGTCCAAATGCTTGACAGTGCAAATGTGAAGAATGTAAATATTCTGATCCACTTTTACTTCACCTTTTGCTTTATTTTGGATCCTTTGATTTACAGAAATAGGGGTATGAAATCAGAATCAGAATGGTCTAACTGTTTGGTTGGATAGAGATTCCGATTTCCATTCCTACCCTTGAGAATGAAAATCTCATTCCAGCCACCTAAAAAGTAAAAAAACAAAAAAAAAGACAAGTGACTTAAACTGCATTTGGCATTTCCTTATCCATTATCAATCATCTTTGGAAGTTTGTATATATCTTATGAAATTTGATTTCAATTCTCACATGAACCAAAAAGCAGGGAATAGGCGATTCCTATTTCGATTCCAATTCCATCTGTCGACGAATTTCCTACACTGCATACAAACAAAATAATTAAATAAAAATTGAGACAAAAGTAAATCAAAATTTCCACTCAAATCATTTGCATTCCTATACTTTTACTGTTTTACACCAATACAAATAAAATTACACTGCAAACATACCAGGCCAAACTAAAGACTCAACTAGTAAAACTAATTACCTGTTGAATTTGGTATAATAGCATCTGGACATTTCATCCCTTCTTCTAAGCAGGGTCCAGATGATGAAACAATAGAGCTCCGATACCTTGTTCTAAAAGGAAACATTGCCCAGAACAAAAGAAAGCAATTAAGATGGAGAAGAGAGACAAAAATATTTTTCTATGGTTCAGAATCCAGATCAAGCAACCGGGTTGACTTTTGCTTAGCATTGTCTCCAAGGTGGGGCCATGAGTTGTGGCTCCAAAGCCACAGCTTGAGTGCTATCGTGTCTCACTGTCTCTGTTACACTGAAACTGGTAGTGCCCATCCACTCAGGGGATCAGGCTTTCCACATACTAGCTACAGAAACCACCGCTTTGTTGGCAATTCCTTAACCCAATTCTGCACAAGAATTACAAATTCAACTTGTCTGTTTCTGGACTCCATCCACGTTGAAAGCACTTTGCTTGATGTTTCTTTTCAAATTTCAACCAATCCATGACCATTGTTGGACCACCAACGATCAAAATGAGGTATCTCACAATGGGTCTGGTCCAATTTGATCCGGTCAAATATGAATTCATTATGGATGGATTAGATCCAATCCAATCCGATGAATATTTTGGATCATTTTGGATTGGTCGAATTCAATGTTCGAATTATTCAATTTGTTCAAATTGATTCTAATTTAGATTGATTCTAACTCAAACCTGTCCATTGACACTATATTCTTATTTTTTATTGATGGACCAAATATTATTTCTATCTGACCCCATCCAATATAATCCATTATGAATGGATTATGTCCAATCCAATCCAATAAACACTTTAGACCATTAAGTCTAATCCAATCCAATAAACACTTTGGACCATTAAATTAGGCGAGTCCAATTCAGTATGTCTTATTAGTCCATTCAATCTGTCCAAATTAATTTTGATTTGGATGAGTCCAACTCATATATGATTCATTAACACCCCTCTTCACAAGCCAAATCAACCCGGTCACTAGATTGGAGACTGAATTTTGAGGTTGGGTTGGTCCGGATGGAGTCTTTTTGCTTATGGGTTTGATGCCCAATTCTGAGTCAAAACCTAAACCAAATTTACGTATTTCATCGAGAAAGCTACTCAGCTACTCTAACTCTAAATCCACTTGCATATAACCAATTCAGTCGGATACACCAGACTTTTGAAAATAAAACTTCTTTAGTCAAACTGCAAATGCTATATAAATAAATATTAATGAACAGCTTAAGTCAGATTCTATCACTCATGTGGATAAACAAATCTCTGTAAGACTTTCCCTACCTTTTCCTTTTCCCTACTTTTTCTTTCAAACCAAACACAGCCTAAATGAATAGACCTCTGGGTTATTTTCCACTGAAAGGTGAAAACACTAAAACCTGTTGCTTTCTTTAGCTTCATCATCAGATATACAGACTTGCCAAGAGAGGAGAAGACCGCAAGACAAATTTCTGGCTTTGGTGTCTAATTGTCTTTCCATCTGGAAATCACTTTATTCTAGGAGATGATGAATCAAGTCAAATTCTTGATACAGTCAGAAGATCCCAACCGTCCATTTTCTAGAGAAGAGTTAAAGATATATGGCCACAATGAGTCTAATGAATCTAGCAAATTTGTTTTTAATTGGGACCCATTCAGAGAAGAACTGGTCAGTCTACTGCCAATAAGACCAGTGGCAAGTTAGTGGGCCCAGACCCATTTGTACTCCTCTAGGCTCTACCCTAGAGGCCTCGGCCCAAGACAATCCCTTTTTGTGTTCAATTTAGAACTTGGTAGTTTTGAAATTCGAAGTCGGCGCTTCCTCCGACCCGACCCAAATCCTCCGGCCCATTATCTACGCCTGTGCAGTCGTCGGTCTCATACGTTATAAATGCCGCTTCTCTCTCTCTCCTCAAATCACTCTCCGCATTTTCTCTCGTTTCCACTTCTGTTCTACCACTACGCTCGGTATACAGTTGCAGAGATTCGATCATAGTTATCAAACTTTTTCCTCCGTTTTTTTTTTTTTTTTTCTAACGACGGCCAAAAAAGGAAAAAAGTTCAAAATCTTTCAAAGCTACATCACACAGACTGGTCTGTAGGTTTCATGGAGGTCAGATCCTTCTCACATATTCGTTACTTCTCTTTCTCTCTTTGTTTCTCTCACAAATTCACCTGGGTTCTTTCCGGCTACTCAGATCGTGTAGACGCTAGGAAAAAACACAGTTTCGTCGGAAAGCAGCGATGTCGAAGAGCCCGTGTCGTGAAGAAAGGTTTCAGGCTCCTTAAAGGTGAATTTCCAGCCATTTTGTTCATTTCTTTCTACAAAAGAATGCTCAAATTGAGTCTTTTTTTCATAAGTAACACAGACAAGATGGAGTTTTCATTTCTTTTCCTAATCTTTTGCTTCATTTGGGATTTCAGTAAATAAAATGGTTTTGAATAAATCTGTTAGAAGAACCAGGTTTTAATCAAATGCAGACGCTTGAAGTTTTTATTTCATTTTTTTTTCAAAATTCTCTGAGTCGGATGAAACTCCGCATAATCTCTTTTTCGCTTTTCTGAGAAAAAGGAATAACAGAAAGAGAATCTCAAAGATAAGTGGCAACCCTTTTAGTGCAAAACCAAACTCTTTTACAGAAAACCACAAAGAAAGTGAGATTCTAGTGGGATTGCTCAAAAAGTTTTTCCAGCTTTTGTCTCAAAAGTTTTCAGATTCAAAGCTTTTCCTCTTCTTTTAGACTCCAACTGGGTGGAAAAAAAAAGGCAGAACTCTTCAGAACTCGTTCGCATCATTCTTGGTTTGCTTCTGCTGTCGAACTCAGCAAGTCCTAGTCCACTCAGAATTGGATTTTGGCGATTTTAGAAATTAGAACTAGAACTTTGGATCAAATATTAATTATCGAGCTTTGCCTTAATCATAATATTTCTTTATACTGAACGGGGTTACGATTACCTAGGGCACGTAAGCTAGGGGATTTCCTGCAGCATCAGATCCAAGACGCTAAAAGTCTTCATCATGAGGCGACTCGCTTGCTGTAGATGGGACAGGGAGATCAGCCTCGACTTCGACGAACAAGAAGGAAGTAAGCAATACACAAATCCTCACTCTCTCCATCTAATCACCATAGATTACCATGGGACCCACTACCTTATGATAATCGTACCCATTGGATCCTGTTTGAGATCGGATGGTCTGGACATTGAGGAGGTGGGTCTGTGGGTCCACCCATTTGTGAGTTTTATGCTACAGAGCCGTCCGTGGGATGATGGACCATGGACCCACAGATTTGAACGGCTCGAGTTGATGCGATGGGCAGGACCCACGTTTGTGAAGGCAACCGCTAACCTCTATGGACCACCGTAGGCGTAGTGCGCACCATATTTATCATTTAATGTAGCTTCTGCTTGAATAGTACTTTAGCGCAATAATTCTTTTGTCCTTTCTTGATTTCATCGATACACTAATTATTAATTTAATAGTCCAGCCTCTTAATTGAGTTTTTATAATGAGAAATTATATGGGAGCCCTGGTACTAGTACTACTATTACATGATATAACGGCTGACCCTAATTGGATGAAAAGCTTTAACCATACGATTGGTAGACTCTTTATAGTTTGACCAATAGTGGGATTTGTTTGGTATTAGTGGTTAGATGTTGTCTGATTCTGACCACTTTGACATCACAAAGCCATTGTATTCTAAGTAAAAAAATCTACGTCCTTTTTTTGTAATATTGACTAATAGATTGGAATCTGAGTGGTTCATGATGATGGGGCCTACTTGGTGATGTCATGGTCCCCTTCCTAAAATTAATGGGTGGGGCCATGAAGGTTTGGATTGATGATACCATGCCATAAATAAGGGAGAGGGTAGGAATTAGGGTAGCCAGAAGCCAGAGACACAGACAGAGGCAGCGGCGTTTGCGTTGCTCTTATTTAATTCCGTCTGATGGAATAGTGGGTCCTCAATTCCGTACTACAATACTACTGTACATCCCACTACCAGTGGATTTTTATACTGCATAAAATAACCTTAATTTTCCTTTATTTGTTATTTAATTGAGAAATTAGATCATGGGATACAGATGTCATTGTCGGGGATGCTTTTCTCTTTTTATATTTATTTTTTGAGCAATGATAGTAAATATATGCAACCCTCGGATACCTCAGAGACATGGTGGGGCCATGCCTAATTTTGTTTTGTAATGCGGTTTTTTCATGAGTGGTGCCGTATTAGTTGAGCGAGGCATACAACTAGAATTTCTTTTATTTTTTATTATTTATTAATCAATTTATTCTGTTAATGTGTGCCCACTGGGGAGGGGCAGTGCTAGTAAAACAATGAGTCTCATGACAAGACATTCAACTTTCTCTCATGCACGAAGAACCCAAGAGTTGCATAAAATCGTTGCTTACTAGCATTCTTCAGTCCAATTTGGTTGAACCAGTGGGTGGCTAAAGTTTTTGGCGGTTTGAGTTTGGGTTCAAGTTCGATTTGAACTAGAAATAGAAATGTAAGCTCAAATTCGAGTGAAAAACCCATATGTTGGAGAGCTCCACAATGGACCAAGCCTATTGGTCAGATTGTTGGAGTGGTCAGACCAGGATAAAATTTTACAAAATTTTGGAATGCATATCTACATTCTAGACCCTAATAGGTCTGATGAAATTTCTCAAAATTCTGGATGTAATTTTTCTATAAATATTAATTAATTTAATAATATTTTATAGTCTATTTACGCTTACAGCTTATATGGTTGATTTTATTAAACATAGCATTATCTCCACAGTTTGATTGAAAATTTTGGCCATTGCATTGGTGTTATAGTAGATTTGAAACTTGTTGTATCATTTCTTTTGAGTTTTACAGCAAACATAAAATGTGAATTTTCAGGGATAATGACATACAATGGTCTTGAGAGCTGCATTCTTAACAGTAGCTCTTACGACAATGAGAGTGGAACAAGTAGAGCAGATGGTTGCCCAAGTGATTCCTTGGATGAAGTTACCTCAAGTTGTTCTTCTAGTAAAGATGTGTTTGGATCCTTCTCCTCTCAACCCCTACTGAACAAGCACATTAATCATTCTCATGATGAATGGGAGGATGTCTCAAACAGCTCTCAACGCTTCTATGCCAAAGAGAAACCAGCTTATGGAGTTAAATTTACAGATACAGAGGCCATGAAAGAAAGATTTTCTAAACTGTTGCTGGGTGAAGATATCACTGGTGGATGCAAGGGCCTCAGCACTGCATTAGCACTGTCTAATGCTATAACCAACCTCGCTGGTATGGGATTTGAGCTTCTGTGAATTGAGGAATGTTTCTTACTGCTAAATCATCAATTCTGATGCTGATGAAATGACAAACTTCTTGCAGCATCAATCTTTGGGGAGATGTGGAAATTGGAGCCTCTGTCTGATGAAAAGAAGAGCAAATGGCGAAGGGAGATGGATTGGTTCCTCTCCCCTACTAACTACATGGTTGAGTTGGTCCCTGCCAAGCAACATGACATCAATGGTGGAATCTTAGAGGTATCTTCTTTTACTCACCAAGGGGCCAAGAAATTTTATCATTAGATTAATTTACAACATTGGAGGAATTTATTCTGAATTCTTCTCTGCAGATAATGACACCAAAAGTTCGCTCAGACATCCACATGAATCTTCCAGCACTTCAAAAGCTAGACTCCATGCTTATTGTAGGTGCTCCCTTCAAATATGTCAACTGAAGAACCAAGTTCATTTACTTAACCTTCTAAATTCAACCAGCAAAGTTGTTTTAATTGTACAGGAGATATTGGATTCAATGGTGAACACAGAGTTCTGGTATGAGGAAGGAGGCAGTAGAGGAGAAGGAAGGAGCAAAAGTGCGAGGCCGAGCAGGAGATGGTGGCTCCCATCTCCGCGAGTCCCCAGAGCTGGACTATCAATAACTGAAAAGAAGAAATTGATTCACCAGGGGAAGGTGGTACATCAAGTTTTCAAGGCCACTAAAGCAATCAATGAAAATGTCTTGCTTGAGATGCCCGTTCCAACAGTCATTAAGAACGCCCTTCCCAAGGCGAGGAAGCCATTTACCATTTACAACACTTGATCATATTCTTATTTGGTTTCCACCTGAAATTTTGTGATTTTCCTTTCCTTCTTAAGTAATGAACTTATTGGGGTACTTTAAAAGTTATAGCAGTAAATCCACTCAGCAAAGACTAGTATCCATTACCATTTTCTGATTATTGAAGATCTCAGTTGTTAGTTTTTATCTAATGTCCACTGAGAATTTGTACTTCAATTAATTTTGGTTTTCTTGGTTTTCAAGCAGTCTGGAAGGGCAAACCTGGGTGAGGAGTTATATAAGGTCTTGAATGCAGAGTCAAGCTCAGTTGAGGAAATGTTCAATTCATTACATTTGAAGAGCGAACATAGTGCCCTTGACACCATGAACAGGTTGGAGACTGCTGTCTTTGCCTGGACACAGAAAATAGCTGAGCAAGCAAGTGGTAAATCTCCAAGAAATTCGTGGTACTTTGTGAAGGACCCCATATCTGAGCTAGATAAGATTGAGGTATTGTTGGGGAGAGCTGAATCCCTTTTACAGACGATCAAGATCCGGTTTCCAAATATTCCTCAAACATTTCTTGATGTTACAAAAGTTCAATACAATATGGTAAGTATACTATTACAACTTTTTAAGGTTTACTGGGGAGTGGGGGTTCTTATTTCACTGAGGGCCCGTTTGGCTAGGAGGAATTGAGGTCCTGAATTGGAATTGGAATTGGAATGGGCCATTCCGATTCCAACTGCTTGGTTGGGCGGAATTGGAATCCTATTCCCTTTCCTGGTGGAATGGCATTCCCCTATTCGAGGGAATGGCCATTCCGTCCCCCTTGGGAATGAAATTCCATTCCATCCGATTCTAATTTTCATTCTTATTCCTGTCAAAGAGACTATATTCTACCATTCCGATTCCTATTCTGAAAGATTTTGGTTCCGATTCTGACTGCAAACCAAATGGACCCTGAACTTACCTGTGTGAGACCCGTTCTGGTGTTTTGTACCCATTCCAACTGATGATCCCAGGCAATTTTATTTAATGACCAAAACCATGAACGCAACTCCCATTCCTCTGTCAGGAGATTTTGATTCATTTAATTGCTTAGCCATGAAATTTTATCATTTCTTTTTTCTTCATCAGTCTGGTTATTGTAGTTGAGTTGAATACAAGTTCTTATGTTTGCTACTTTCTCAAATTTTTGCAGGATGTCGGGCATTCAATTCTTGAAGCTTACTCGAGAGTGCTTGGGAGCTTGGCTTTTAGCATACTCTCTAGGATAGGAGATATCTTACAAGAAGATGTCTTTAGCAATCCCAACTCACCAGTTGTGACTTGTTGCTTTTCTGGGCTTAATTTCTCAGGAATGTTTGAATCTCCACAGGTAGAGAGCCGCGTTTGTCATTCACTCATTGAACAGATCAACAAGGCAGACAGGCAATTCTGCGAGTCTAGTGAAAGTAAATCTTCTGATGTGGACTTCTCTGACAGTGAGCCCAAAACAAGTTCTGTGACTTCAACACCATGTAGAAGCCGAGTATGGTGTATTGGTAGAGAAGCTTGTAGAAGTGTCTCCCTTGCAAATTCCCCCTGATAGATACATAAATTATCAACAGATCTACCTTCTGTAAATGAAAGTATAAGTTCTTAATGAGAATCAATGGATACATATTTTTTCAGTTTGCATCCTCTCAAGGTATAAAGTAGGATCATATCTACTTAACACAAACCAACATTTCCTAATCCTTTGCTGTGTTATTAACTTATTAATTACCTGATGAACTTGATGATCTGTATAAGAACTGGAAGAAAGTTTCGGATTCAAACACCAAAAGATGATTTAGCACATAGCACATTGTTTGGCTAAAAAACTGAATTGATCTCATATAGCATAACTCACACAATAAAATACATTTTTTATTAAATTTGAGCAAGACCTATTAAGGGCATAATTAGTTACAACAATGTGCACATACCATCATGGCAATGATGAATTACAACTAGGGGTGAGTATTTTGGTTTTTGATTACTTCAGTTCAGTTAATTTGGTTTTGTAAAAGTTCGGTTTCAGTTTCAGTTTTCAGGTTTGGCAATTCGATTAACCGAAAAGACTGAATTAACCAAACTTTATTATTTATACATAATATCTATTAATATATATATTATCTATAATATACATTATATTATATTATATATTAAAATATATAATGGGTTATTTATATATATATATATATATATATATATATATATATATATTAATGAAATTCGATTTTAAATGAAATAATCGAAAACTGAACCAAAAATTTGATTTCAATTAAGTTTTTCATTTAAAACTTTTCGTTTTTTTGTTGGGTTTTTAACAAAATAAACCGATTGCTCACTCCTAGTTGCAACAGCTGAAAAGAAACATATAGTGTTGGAGAAATGGAGAGAACAGATGGTGGGGTTCAACTGAGACCCCAATGGGTTCCCCGCTGCTGTAAGTTGTACAGCTCACATGCTCTCTCATTTTAGTATCTCCCCCTTCTCTATCCAAACTTGGTCCAGATGTCTTAGGTTTTCTGAGACCTGTTTGTGTATGGATGACTTGCAATCGTCTTATGAAATTGCCTAAACGCATGCCTGCCGCGCCCCTCCTCAGGCAGCAACATTTACAATATTCCAAATAAAATAAAACAAAACATAGGCCCAGCCCAGAAATAACTAAAACAATTATCCACTAACTACCGGCCCATTAGCCCACTAAGAAACATAAGTCTTTGTCTGGAAAAAGTGCAAAAGAGTAAATACAAATATATAGAGTGCTTTTTTGTTCGTATAAATGCAAAGTTGATTTAGTTTTGCATCTTACCAAATGATTTTTAGTTATAATGGGTGCAAACATGAATCCTGATATATTTTTAACATTGATAAGCTTGCAAAGTTTGCATTGGATGCAAATTTTGCTCTCATTTTGGATAGATGCGTATATGCTTTGAAATTTGTGATAGCTATCATTTTTAGTACATAAATGCATTGTTACCACATACCATCAAAACTTAATCAGAGTGCATATATGCATCAAACTGGCATTTGCAAACAACTGCATACACAATCCTTTTAAAGCGGTAATTACAGCCAGATGGCCCGAATCTCTAAGCTTTCATTGTAGTTGCCAAACAAATCTTGCAATTTCTTCAAATGGGAGCCTAAAGCAATTTATTCCCTTCTACATGCGGATATCAATTGGACCAGATTTGGTTCAATCCGATCTAGTCCCATATGAGTCCATTATAGATGAATCAAGTCCAATCCAATCCAATGAATATGTTGAGCCATTTTGAACAGGTCCAATTCAATATTTGGATTTTAAACCATCCAACCCTTTCAAATTGGTTTTAACCCAAAAGTGGATTCAAATTTATTAGACCAACTGAGTGATAGCTCGATTGGTATTGTAACTGAGAAGTCCCAGCAGAGATGTGGATAAGTATGTATATATTGGGGATGGATACTGGTTTTCAAAACCGGACCGGACCAGAAAAACTAGGAACCGGTTAGGTGATTAGTTCTGTTTTATCCCAGAACCGTTATTTCACCAAAAACCATTGATTTGATCAGTAAATCACTGATACCAGTCAAATTGTTCAAACTGTTCAAACTATACAAGGGTTTGACTGTTTTTTATTTTTTTGTCAGAACGGACTGTCCATTTGATTCGAACAATTAGACCGTTCAACCCAAAAATCGGACCCCTACCGGTTCGGTTTTAAAAACTTTGGGATGGACTGGGTCCAATGCAATCCAATAAATACTTTGGACCATTAAGCCTGGTCTGGTCCCATTCAACCAATATTTTGATTTTAATTTGAAGGGATCCAACCCAAAACCTCTCCCTTGACACCCTTACTTATACGACGCAGGCAAGGTGTAAGCCTTAAACTCTCAAAGACGCCTTGCCTGTGTGCATAGACGGTCTTTTAAAGTGGTAGTTGCTAGCCGAATCTCTAAGCTTAAACAAATCTTACAATTTTCTACATGATTGAGTTGTGATTTGTGAATCTAAGGGTTTCAATGTTTGAATCCTTCGCAATAATGTTGTGATTATTGATTAAATCCATTGGTAATGAATCTAATGATTTATGGCATGTGATTTGAACCAGTTCAATATTTGAGTGAAGTTGAACTGGTACCCTCTTCCCTTGTTGCTGTAATGCATACGCCCATGGCATTCTTGGACACTCTGTTAAACAAGTGCGCATCGCTCGGACATATCAAACAATTCCAAGCCCAACTTGTCACACTTGGTCTTTTCCAGTTCTGTACTTCACGAACCAAACTTCTCGAGCTCTGTGCCATCTCCCCGTTCGGGAGCCTCGACTACGCCGGTGAGATTTTTAGTCGAATTGAAAGTCCGACCACTAACGACTGGAATGCAATCATTCGAGGTCTCGCTCAAAGTAATGAACCCAGGGAGGCCATTACATGTTACCGGACCATGTCTCAGATACCCCAAAAGCCAGATGCTCTGACCTGCTCGTTCACTCTCAAAGCCTGCGCACGAATGTTGGCCCTCTTAGAAGCGAAACAGATTCATTCTCAGCTCATCCGTTTTGGGTTTCAAGCTGATGTGCTGTTGCAAACTACACTTCTAGACGTTTATGCCAAGTCAGGTGATCTTGACAACGCGCAACAGTTGTTCGATGAAATGCAGCTTAGAGATATTGCGACGTGGAATGTATTAATCGCGGGGTTGGCGCAAGGGAGCAGACCTTATGATGCATTGGTTCTGTTTCACCAAATGAGGCGTGAGAGGCTGAGGCCCAACGAAGTTACTGTGCTTGGAGCACTTTCGGCTTGTTCACAGTTAGGTTCACTTCATGAGGGCAAGATGGTGCATCTGTACGTTCAAGAGGAGCAGATGGATACAAATGTGCAGGTGTGCAATGCGCTCATCGATATGTTTGCTAAGTGTGGGTCTATCGACAAAGCGTGCGATGTGTTTTACACCATGCGTTGCCAGAAGAGCCTTGTGTCGTGGAACACCATGATCATGGCACTCGCTCTGCATGGTCATGGCGCCCATGCACTCGACCTGTTTGCTTGCATGAGAGATGCCGGTGTCCACCCTGATGCAGTCACATACCTCGCCGCACTATGCGCGTGCAACCACTCCGGTCTGGTTTCTGATGGGCTTCAACTGTTTCAGTCCATGGTGGAGTCAGGGGTGAGACCAAATGTTAAGCATTATGGAAGCTTGGTGGACCTCCTGGGTCGTGCCGGGCGACTGGAAGAGGCTTACCAAGTCATAACATCTCTGCCCATGGTCCCTGATGTTGTTCTATGGCAAAGCCTGCTTGGGGCTTGCAAGACTTATGGGAATGTTGAGTTGGCCGAGCGTGCATCTCGAGCACTTGTAGAAATGGGATCGAACAGTTGTGGCGATTTCGTGCTGCTATCGAACGTTTATGCCTCACAAGCTCGATGGACCGACGTGGGTAAGATTAGGGACGCCATGAAGAATAGAGATGTCAAGAAGATTCCAGGGTTCAGTTTCATAGAGGTGGAGGGTGTGATTCATAAGTTCCTTAACGGTGACAAAAACCATTCAAAATGGAGGGAGATTTACAGCAAGTTAGATGAGATAGGTTTGAGGATAAAGGCACATGGGTATGTGCCTGAGACATGTTTTGTGTTGCATGATATTGGAGAGGAGGACAAGGAGCAGGCTTTGTATTACCATAGTGAGAAGTTGGCTGTGGCTTTTGGTTTGATTAGCATGAGATGTGGAACTCCAATCCAAGTGATTAAGAACCTTAGGATCTGTGGTGATTGTCATGTTGTGATAAAGCTTATTTCTAAGATTTATGATCGGGAAATTATTGTGAGAGACCGAGCTCGGTTTCACCGTTTCAAAGAAGGGTTTTGCTCTTGTGGGGATTATTGGTGACAAATATATTTATTTTCTAATTTTCAAATAATGTATTCCAATGTAGAGATTCAAGCTAGATATATTTAACGTGATCGCAATTCTAGGGCTTCAGTCTTCAAACAGATTGATTCAATTTGAATCCGATGGATATATAAATTTCTCTATTCGAACACTGGATATCTGATGCAAATCTGATTCAATCGTCTTTGGTTCCTTATCAAATCCTGTTGTACTTGTTATTTGGTTTCCCTGTTAAAGAAACCAAAGCTTTCCACAAGCAAAGAGAAAGAAGCTTCAATTTTGCAGCTAAACTGTCTAAGATACATGGAAGGGGAACTGGAGCCAAGGTACAAATTAGTGGGTAGCCTTGTAAGACTGAAAAGCATAATCAACCCTTTTTTTTCCATTCAAAAATCAGGATGCAGGAGGCCGATGACCAAGTGGCTGAGATGATCTCTGAGCGTCCCTCCTTATATGGAGGCACAAGATCAAACCAGTGTGACTAGTGTGACTGCAGATTCTCTGTGGTAAGATCAGTGGATCTCACTTGCACCCTGCTCTGCCTCCACTCCTAAATCCCTTGTCCTTGTGTGATATGTAATACCAAAGAAAAAATCACAATGTAGGACTGAATAAATATTTAACACAGTAGGTAAAAACCTCGAACAATAAATATTGTGTCCAAAACAAAATGGAGGGGAAGAGATAAAGAGCTGGGCATAAAGAAACTACTTATATATACCTCTAACTTTAAAAAGCATCGTCATTCTCCCATTGGTGTCTGCTCATGAGAGATCGCTCTACTTGTGAGAGCCTGGTCTGCCTGTGAGGGACGATACTCGTTTCGCTCATAATCCCCCTATTCCCCATTAGAAGACATCTGGAGTGGCTGCCAAACATGGATAATCTAGAGGCACCATTGAGTATAGAAGAGAAATGTTGCCTGTCTGCTCGCAAAGGTTTTATCTGATAAACCCTTGAATGCATTTGGGGTTCTTGAGAGGATAAAAAAATGTGGAAAAGACAAATCAAAGACTAGAATGCAAAGAGA